CATTTTATTTCATGTGTACTTATGTAGAGATCGGTACTGTAATCAAAGCGGCGGACATCAGCATAAGCATTGATCAAGTAAATGAAGAATGTTCAAAATATTGAATCGGACAACCCCGTATTGTCATAACTTTTCATATTTTTCTTTTCGAGAATATTTCTTTTCGGTTTTTTTTTCTACATTTTGCTTTTCGACATTTTGACCTTTCGACATTTTTTTTTCTGTCTTTTTCTTTTCGATATTTCAACGTTTCGACTTTTTTCTTTTCTGTCTTTTTCTTTTCTATATTATTCCCTCCAATTATTTTTTCGACATTTTGCCTTTCGATATTTTTCTTTTCGGCATTTTTCCATCCATTCTTTATTACACACAAGTATAAATTAACTAGTACAATTACACAATAACCGAAAAAAATAATTCAAATAAAGATCAACTATTTTAGAAGCATTTCTGGTGCTTCCTCTCTTCTACTTTGAAGGAAATGGTCGAATTTCATTATTTTCTTGGAATTTTTTATTTCTAACAAATGAATAATTCTTGTAAATGTTTTCATCTAATGGATGACTGTGAGCTAAGTTTTTGTTTTTCATAAAGTTAGTTTTATTAATTTCAGTATCATGTTTAATTTTGAAATAAAATTGACAATCTAATCGAGCTGATTCTTGATTTGGTCTTGAACCATCTTTTATGTGTCTTCTAATAGGATCACTATGATGGCATACGTACATTACATGTTGGCATCGAAAGCGATCAAATAACTCTTTCATTAGTTTTTCATTATATTTCATTGAAGTTCGTTTAATATTCACTGGTTGATAATAAGTAGGGTGTGGGTGTGGGTGTAGGTGTGAATGTGGGGTGCGGGTGTTGGTCTGTGGCTGTGGGTGTGGGTATTTTTCTTCTGACTACCCACACCCACACCCGAACAGACATGAAATGCTTATAAAACTTTATTGCTGGTAGTTTTCCATATGTCAGCCTATGTTTTATATAACACAATGTGTCGACATTATCCTCGAAGCAACGGCAGTAAAATATCCCATTTTTATGTCACTTATTGACATTTGATGTTGAAACAAAGAGAATTATATTTAATCTTTATACTTTCTTTATTTTCGGAACATAAAGATTCTATTTATCTTTATTTTAAAATGCTAAAAAATATTCTTTGCAGTAGTTTTTTCAAAAAGAAAGATATTGTAAAATCCTTTATCGTCATCTTACAAAATGCATCACCAATTTTATTACCCACTTTTTTTTGAAGAAATGATGAGTAAATATTTGTCACCATCGAAATGATGCAAGGTCAAGCAACTTATAATTACAGCATCAGTGGAGACAAGGAATATTTTTTTTTTATTTGAACAAGGAAGGATAAAGGGTAGGTGACGGCGGAATGGAAATTTCTTCGCAATATTAGGTTGCATCATATTCTCTATGTGGGAAATATCTACAATGAATGTTTCTCGGCATATAGAAGCGATAGTTATCGTGCAAATTATACAGAGTGCGTATACTAGGATTAGACATTTTTAATATCATCGCTTCGAAGCTATTGTTTTTATTTTTCTAGAAGCTCACGTGGTGAAATGTCTTCTTCCACTGTCAATTCTTGCTTAGTTTATGCACTCATCATTCTTATCTTAAGTTCACCGGTCTCAAGTGGAGTGGCTACTTATGCAGCATGTTTCGCTACCTGTATGGCTACGTGTGAAGGCGGAGCGGCGACCGCAGTAGGTGCTGGAGCCGGTATAGTTGCAGGTGCTGCGACTGCTGGTATTGGAGCAGTACCTGCCGCGGTGGCTGCTGGTACAGCCGCCGCGACGGCCGCCGCAGCGCCGTGTGCCGTTACATGTGCAGCTGTTTGTGCATGGGCACTTGTTCCTTTTTTACCGTAACACACAAAACAAAAAATTAATTTTCAATCGTTGCAACGTAGCAATCGCAATATTGCCTACCCTAATACCGAATGGTATTGATGGTATTGGTGCTGGTATTCAGCGATGCAGTCGGTAACGATAAACGGACGCTTCGGTTTGCAGTTCCTTACCAGCCGGTAGAGAAGAATTTTTTCAGACCAGGCTGGTCTAGGTTTTTGTCGTTTTTTCTTTATTTTTGCTGCTTTTTCGCATTTCAGTATAGTGTTAATCGTATTCCAGACAAACTTGTTAAATAAAAGTAACCCACAAAAGTTACGATTTTCATAGTTTATCGAACCAAATAAGTCAACGATCTTCAGGGTGTGTGTGTGGAAATTAACAAGAATAATGTATCTTCCAATTTTATGTTATATCGAGGGTGAGGGTGAGGCACAGTGGGCAACTTTTGTATACCAGGCGGACATGCATGTGAAAAGGATTTTTTCGTTAACTATCATAAAGTTGCATAGCCTTTTTGATGCAGTCTTTCTAATAGTAAGCTCAAAGAAGCTTTATATCTTCATATTTATCGGCTTTTTGGAAAACTTATGGGTTTTAGTTAGGATTTTCGTGAATTAGAAGCTTCTATAGTCTTAATTATTCATCATAAAGTGAGGATTCTTTGAGCACTCAATTTCCAATCACAGTAAACTTAGAGTAAAACTGTAATTGTCGACTTAACATGTGCTTTTTTTAGCTTTTTTTTTACATATTTTCCTTGTTTTAGCTTTTTTTTAATTTATTCTGTTTTTTAATTTTTTTAGCCTTTTTTAAGGTTTTTTCATATTTTTTTAAATCTTTTTTTGTTAGCTTTTTTTAGAAGTTGCTATTGATTATAAGATAAGTTCATTTTCTATCAATTTTTTTTCAATGCTAAAGCGAGAAAAGAGGAAAAGACTTTCAAAATTATATACAATTTGATATTAGAATGTCAAATGTTTCGATTCATTTCTGGAGAAATAGATTATGTAGTATTTCATCATCTTCATTCAATGGTTGAAATGTAGTCGTTTGTGTCTGTGAATGTATTTGCCTTTTTGCAAATGTATCAGTAATTATTTTTCTTATGAGTGGATCAGAACGAATGAATAGTCGATTGAAAACATCTGTTAGATTTACTGTATGTCCGCATTTCCTAGATAGAAATTCACGAAAATTACGAACATCTTATTACAGCTCTCAAGGGTCTCTTCTAATAATTCTCCCAAAGCTACACCATGATTTTTTTCTATTAATTCGCACGAATAAAATATTAATGAATGAACAGTCATGATGTAGCCAATCCATTTTATATCCGATAACAATTTTTGAAAATCAATAATTAATTTTTTATAATTAGAAATATTAATTGGTTGTGTTGATGCAACAGCTCGTAAAATAATAGAATAAAGTTTTATTAATTTTTGAAGTGTTTTGCGATGTCTTGATGGAACACAAGACACTAAGATATCTCGGACTTCAAACGAAAAGAATTTTCGTCCTTGTCCGCCTGTCGTGCTTGTACCACCAGTTGTAGATGAAATAGAATTACATTGATCAAGTCGTAAGCCAGTTTTACTTTGAATAGTTTCTAAGATTATTTTTTTTCCTTCTAAAATACGTTCTTGTTTATCTTTATCATGAATTACCCACGATAATATATCGGCACGCATATGAGCCATAATCTTTAGAACCCAAGTCGTACCATTAATATATTGATGAGTGATAGTGGTAAAATGTTGATCATCAATTGATAAAGGCTTAGATGTTAAACCTGTTCGAACGTCGTAATCATTTTTACGTTTTACAATATTACCAACGTTATCAGCTAATTGGCCGTATAATGTAAGAATCTTTTCTGCTGTTCGATTAATACTAAAAAACTCAGGATCCAACATTTTCTCCGGATCCTTCCAACCTTCTTGACTTGTGCTACACATTAAACATTGTGCACCTCCTAAAC